CGCATACCTTAAATGAGATGGTAGTTGCTTGAGCTCAAGTGTAGGTGCCTTTGTGATTGGTAAAGTTGACTGAGACGCCACAGCTCCAATTTCTCTAATCGAATTAGCTTCAGGACGAACCAAGGGTGGTAAAGCATTTAAGTATCTTAAACACTCTCTAATCTGTTCACTATCAACTTCATCCTCCTGATCTCTAGAATTCATCAAACAATTCTCTAAAGGAAAAATGGGGTAGCTCTCTTCAAATTTCTGCTCCACTATGGCGTCGAGAACATCAATCTTAAAGCATAAGTCTAGTTCAAATGGACGCTTCATGGATTCAAAAACATCACATTCTACTTGCTCATCTTCTACCCTCAAGATTAATTTCCCTTGGTGGACATCTATCAATGTTCTACTCGTGGCTAGAAAATGTCGTCCTAAAATTAAAGGTATCTCCTTATCTTCCTCCATGTCTAACACTGTGAAATCTACTGGGAAAATCAGTTTGTCTACCTTAATCAAGACGTCTTCTACCACCCCCCTAGGATATGTTATCGATAGATCAGCTAATTGGAGAGACACGATGGTTGGCTTCACTTCTCCTAATCCAAGCTTCCTATAGATGGAAAACAGTATTAAGTTAATACTTGCCCCTAAATCACATAACACTTTATTAAAATAACAACTACTAATAATACAAGGGATAGTAAAACTCCTTGGATCTATTAGTTTAGGTGGTAGTTTCTTTTGAATCAACGCGTTGCATTCCTCCGTGAGCATAACTTTCTCGTGTTCCTCGAATTTTCTCGTGTGTGAGGATCTCCTTCAGAAACTTCGCATACTTCGGCATTTGTTCTAGCATATCAACAAAATGGATATTAATATGTAAACTTCGAAACATGTCACTAAACTTACCAAATTGCTTATCGAGCTTCTGATTTTTCAACTGTTGTGGGTATGGAAGGGTTGCCTGGCTTGAAGGAAGTTTCTGCTTAGATGCACGCTCGCCGCGGCGATGAGTTTGAAACTTCTGATACATTCAGAGCAAGATCACGCTCGCCGCGGCCACCATCTTCATCGCCGCAGCGATTGTCCCTATTTCTAACGAATTTCTCCACAATCTCACGCTCGCCGCGGCCACCATTTTCACCGCTGTGATGATCATCCTTCAGGTCTTATTCTTTCCTCTGTTTTTCACCCTTTGAATTTTCCAAACTTCTTCCACTCCTCAAAGTGATTGCATGCGCTTGTTCCTTTGGATTCTTCTCTGTACACTCGGCAAAGCTCCTTGAACTCTTCCCACTAATATGTTGTGAATTTGCCCAATTTAAGTCTCAAGGTTCCTAATAGAGGCTGGTTGATTTTGAACCAAGATGTCAGTCTTCTCAAACCTCTTGCTTGTCTCTTCAATGAACTTGGTCAACACATTCTCTAAATTAGATTTTTGCTCTTGAGGTTGAAAAACGGGAGCTTGTTTTTGCTCATTGTTATTGCTCCATGAAAAATTAGGGTGTTTCCTCCATGCTGGATTATATGTATTGGAATATGGATTCCCTTGCCCCCTTTAGAAATTATTAACGTAATTGGCTTGTTCAGGCTGAGCAAACGGGTTTCCTTCTTGGAAATCCTTCGATGAATGATTTCCTGCACAAGATCACATATTAGAGAAGAAGATTCAATTGCATTTACTTTCAATACATTACCTAATTGCTTCTGGATGTTCGAAAGTTGAGCAGCCAATGTCATGTAACCGTCAACTTCATGCACTCCCGCTGATCTCCTTATTGAAGTTCTCTCTGGAGTCCTCATATAGTTATTGTTCGCCATCACCTCAATCAGATTGTATGCTTCCTCTGGCGTTTTATTGTTCAAGGCTCCCCCACTTGCAGCATCAATCATAGCTTGAATAGTTGGTAGCAATCCTTGGTAGAACGTTTGCACTTGCGACCATATTGGTAAACCATGGTGAGAGCACCTTCGTAAGAGATCTTTATACCTTTCCCATGCTTCATACAATGACTGAATCTTGTTGGTAATAGTTGGTAATCTCACTCCTCAGCTTGGCAGACTTGGCAGGTGGAAAGCATTTAGTGAGGACGCTTGAGCTAACTCATTCCATGTCGTGATGCTCCCAGATGGCAGAGAAATCAACCAAGCCTTAGCTTTATCCCGAAGAGAGAATGGGAAAAGCCTTAGCCTATTCGCGTTATCGGATACTCCATTATGCCTGAATGTGTCGCATAACTCCAGAAAATTTGCGATATGTAGGTTGGGATCATCATTAGGTAACCCAGCGAATTGGACCAACTGCTAAATCATTCCAATAATTGCTGGCTTAATCTCAAAATTATTCGCTTGAACGGGTGGTCTCCTGATGCTAAAATAGCACCCATCAATAGTAGGACTAGAGTAGTCCTTCAATGCTCTCTGAACCACTGCTGCTCCACCATTTGCATTTCCCCTTAAATTATCCTCAGTCTCATTCTCTTGATTTCCCATATTGGGATTCACAATTCCTGTGTTAGCCATTGATTTTTCAGAGTTAGGTTGCCTCTTTTCTTTCCTCAACTGTTTCGCGGTTCTCTTGATCTCAAAATCTAGTGGATTAAGATCACCACGACCTCTTGAACATAAACTCTCCAGATTCTAGCTGAAAACAACAAACAAAACAAACAAAAATAAAAATTAATTAGTAAACAAAAATAAAACAAATCAAATTAGCAACTAAATATTTCGTATTGATATTGGTAAAACGAAATAGTTCCCCGACAACGGCGCCAAAAACTTGACAAGCTTTTCGTAAGTGTACGAAATCGTGCAAGTAGTAAAACTCGAGTAAACGAGTGTCGAATCCCAAGAGAACTACCTACCAAGTACCAAACTAGTCTATTTTATTGCTATTTGATGAAACAAAATTTTATGAATGAATTTAACAAATTAAAAACTAAACAAATCAGAATTTTATAAAAACTATGGTATAAAGATCAATAAGGCTAAACCCTAGGGCACAGATTTTACACCAATTTAATCCTATGTATTGACGATCATTACAAACCTAATTAAGCTTATTCTAAAGGCCAAACTCCCTATTATTCCCCTAATTTTCTCTCGAACAATTAGTGAATTAACCCTTAAACAACAACCCAAAATATCTCTAAGTTGGATTTAGAAGCTAAGAGATCATTAAGTTCCATGGAATTTACAGGAGCCTCACAGATCGCGGTAACCTATCTCTAGCGTTCGCTCAATCTATGGTTTTATTACCTTAGACAAATCGGGTTTCATCTCTCGATCTCAACCCAACCCATGATATCATTCAACTCTCAGGCCCTTGAGAATTGAAAGCATTACACACAATAATAAAACTTAGAATCAATGCTTAATAAGAAATTAATAAAGAAAACGTCAACACATATTCATAAATTGGGCTACATCTTTAGCCCTAGAAAAGAGATTTAGTTCATAATTGCAATAATAAAAACCATCATTCTATTCAATGCCATGAGTTCAAGAAAGAAAAAAATATAAAAACTTCTCTAATCGGTGAACGAGAGCTTCAAGAATCCCGATCTCCAAACTAGTAGTCGTCCTTCTCTTTCTATCTCCAAAAACCCCCTCAAAACTTCTTGAAGACCCTTATTTATATCCTAGGGTTTTGATATTACTTAGAAAAAGAGTAAATGCCTTGGCCCATACAAATTCAGATTAGGATAATGCATTAACATAACAAGCCCGTGACCCATCGCCGTGGTGGTAAGAACAGTCGCTGCGGCGATCGTTCTTTCTGTCCAAGGCATCCGTGATCTTCAAAATTAGGTAAAGTCATTAACACAAACTTTGTAGCTCTCTGAATAAGCTTTCCAACGCCACAAGAATCGTCAAATTCCGATTTCTACAGCTCAAGTTATGACAGAAACATCGAAACATGCAATTTTGAAAGATTTCCAGATTTTGCGTTATATATTCGACGCGTCACAACTTTCTCGTTTCAACTCCGATTCTTGTACCGTTTGTTCCTACGCATCATAAATTCCATCGACATCATTCTTTTCCCTTCAAATATCTGTTTGAACTTGAAAATACTCAAAATACACCCATGATCTCAAAAAAGGTATTTATGAAAGAATTTATTCAAATACCACAATTTAAACACATTTTTCCACAAATGATCCAATTAAATCACTTACAAAATTAAACTTCTAATTTTATTTATCAATAAATTTTCATCTACTTTTATGCCTACCTGAAAAAGACATTTATGGTCTTTGATTTCTTATTGAAATGTTCATAATGGGTTATACTTTGCTGACGTTGTAAATCTAAGTAAGTTATATGTACAAACTAATTAATTATACAAATTATTCCCTATAAATTGATATAACAACTCTTATGTTTAATTAACATATAGTATTATTCTTTTAAATCTTTAATGGTAAATTAATATTTGAGTGATGTTATATGTACCAACTAAGTATGCAAACTCTTATATATAAACTGATGTGATGCATATATGTGATAAATTAAAAAGTTGATTCTTCATAGAAAATACAATGGCGTGATCCTTATTTTCGGAAGCTCTAGCAACATATTTAGTTATTCTCAGATTCTCAAACTTGTCGACGAAATTTACAAAGCTAAGCTATCAAGAACCTTCATTAACACAATACACACCCATCTTAATTAGTATTCAATCTTAAGTCTTAACCAATTGACCTGCTTGCAAATCGCGTTGACTTCTGACTAGTCAACGCGGCAGTTATAACCTTATGAACAAGGAACCCACCTGCCATCTGCAGCTCCATACCAATTTCCTCTGAACTTGCCTTCACATTTTATTTAATGTTATTGTTAAACCGATTATTACGACATTTGCAATTCCCCATATATAAATTATAATCCTAGGAAGTAATAATCCACATCTCATCACCAAACAATTTCTCATTGCTTATTGTTTGCATAAACATTTTCGATTCTTTTTTTTTTTTTTTTTTTTTTTTTTTTGTTCTTGTTAAAACACAATGTCCGTCTCTACCATTCTCCAAGCAAACCAAAATTTACTTAGTGCTCCTTCCAACCTTAGTCAAACCAACAGGAATTGGCACTCAGCTTTTGCCAAAATTTACTGTTCCACAGCTTTTCTCTCTCTTTCCAAAACAAAATATACCAGTAATAAAGTTTCCCGCTCCCCGTCTTTTACTGTTGTCAATGTTCCACTTGATAGTAATGATCAATACTTCAAGATTGATCCCAAAAGCCTTACAGAGCTTGTGAAGAAGAAAAATCTAGACAAACTTTACGAGTTTGATGGGATTTCCGGCATAGCTTCTGCTCTTAAAACAGATATTGAAGGAGGAATATGTAGCACCGAAAAAGATATTGTTCGCCGACATGAGGCATTTGGTTCAAACACCTATAAGAAACCGCCATCAAAAAGCTTCTTTCAATTTGTGGTGGAAGCATTCAAAGATCTTACAATATTGATTCTTTTAGGCTGTGCAGTCCTTTCACTTGCCTTTGGCATAAAAGAGCATGGTCCGAAAGAAGGTTGGTATGACGGTGGAAGCATTTTTGTGGCTGTCTTTCTTGTCATCGCTGTTTCAGCTGTAAGTAATTACAGACAAAACCGACAATTCGACAAGCTATCAAAAGTGAGCAACAATATCCAAATTGAAGTCGCTAGAAACGGTCGACGCCAACAAATCTCAATACTTGATATTGTTGTTGGAGACATTGTATGCTTAAAAATTGGAGACCAAGTTCCTGCTGATGGATTGTTCTTGGATGGGCATTCCTTACTATTAGACGAATCAAGCATGACAGGGGAGAGTGATCATGTTGAGGTAAACAGCAGCCATAATCCATTCTTGTTTTCCGGCACAAAAGTAGCTGACGGGTATGCTCGTATGTTAGCCACATCAGTTGGTATGAACACACTATGGGGCCAAATGATGAGTAAAATGAGTCGGGAGAGCGGTGAACAGACACCTTTGCAAGCAAGGCTCAACAAGTTAACTTCCGCAATAGGCAGAGTTGGATTGATAGTTGCTTTCTTGGTTCTTTTAGTCTTGATGTTTCGCTACTTCACAGGAAACACAACAGACGAGAATGGAAACCAAGAATTTATTGGAAGCAAAACAAAGGTTGACAACATTGTGAATGCTGTTGTGGGGATTGTAGCTGCTGCAGTTACAATCGTCGTAGTTGCAATTCCAGAAGGTCTTCCATTAGCTGTTACACTTACTCTTGCGTATTCGATGAAGAGAATGATGGCTGATCAAGCTATGGTGAGAAAGCTCTCTGCCTGTGAAACAATGGGCTCTGCAAACGTCATTTGTACTGATAAAACAGGGACTCTCACTCTCAACCAGATGAAGGTGACAAAGTTTTGGCTTGGCCAGGAACTAATCAAAGAGGGTTCTGCCTCTCCAATTTCTCCCTGGGTTGTTGAATTGATTCAACAAGGAGTTGCTCTGAATACAACTGGTACTGTCTACAAGGCTACTTCAGGATCCGATATTGAAATCTCAGGTAGTCCCACTGAAAAAGCAATTCTTTCTTGGGCTACCCAAGATCTCAACATGGAGATGGAGAAAATCAAACAGAGCTGTACTATTCTCCAAGTTGAGGCCTTCAATTCAAAAAAGAAAAGGAGTGGCGTTATGATGAGGAAGAAGATAGACAACACAATCAACGTGCATTGGAAAGGAGCAGCTGAGATGATTCTAGCCAAGTGTTCGAGTTACTATGATGCCTCTGGAAACCTGAAAAATCTGGATAATGGTGCAAAGGAAATATTTGAGCACATTATTGAAGGTATGGCAGCCAGCAGCCTTCGATGCATTGCTTTTGCGCATAAACACGTTTCCGAAGAAGAGCAAGAAGATGCAAATGATGCGAAAAAGTTAAATGAAGACAGCTTGAGCCTAATAGGACTGGTGGGTATTAAGGACCCATGTCGTCCAGGGGTAAAGAAAGCTGTGGAAGCCTGCCAACATGCTGGTGTCAACATCAAGATGATCACTGGTGACAATGTTTTCACTGCAAAAGCCATAGCCACTGAATGTGGAATACTTACGCAAAATGGATTGGTTGTGGAAGGAGAAGAGTTCAGAAACTACACACAGGAGCAGAGATTGGAGAAAGTTGACAAAATATGTGTGATGGCAAGATCCTCTCCTTTTGATAAACTGCTCATGGTGCAGTGCTTGAAACAGAAAGGTCACGTGGTTGCAGTCACTGGGGATGGCACAAATGATGCACCAGCTCTGAAGGAAGCAGATATAGGACTATCTATGGGAATTCAAGGGACTGAAGTAGCCAAGGAGAGTTCAGATATTGTCATCATGGATGATAATTTTGGTTCAGTAGCCACAGTTCTGAAATGGGGAAGATGTGTCTACACCAATATCCAAAAATTCATTCAGTTCCAGCTTACGGTAAATGTTGCTGCTCTTGTGATAAACTTTGTAGCAGCGGTTTCTTCAGGTGAAGTACCTCTAACAGCAGTCCAATTATTGTGGGTGAATTTGATTATGGACACATTAGGCGCCCTGGCTCTGGCTACAGAGCGGCCAACGAGCGAGCTCATGAACAAACCACCTGTGGGTCGTACCAAGCCGCTTATCACCAATGTTATGTGGAGAAATCTTCTAGCTCAAGCTTTATATCAGATAGCCATTCTCTTGACCTTACAGTTCAGAGGTCAATCAATCTTTGGTGTTAATGAGAAGGTAAAGGACACCTTGATCTTCAACATATTTGTCCTTTGCCAAGTCTTCAATGAGTTCAACGCAAGGAAGCTTGAAAAGAAGAATGTCTTTAAAGGGATACACAAGAACAAGTTGTTTTTGGGAATTATCGCAATAACCATCATTCTCCAAGTATTGATGGTGGAATTTCTGAAGAAGTTTGCAGATACAGAGAGACTGAATTGGAGCCAATGGGGTGCATGTATTAGTATCGCAGCTGCATCTTGGCCGATTGGCTGGCTTGTCAAGTGCATACCTGTTCCAGAGAAACCATTTTTAAGCTATCTCAAGTGGCGAAGTAGATATTGAAAATCCAGACATAACAATTATTTAATTTGTAAAAAGAACCCACATTCATTGGATTCTTTAAGTTCAATCACTTTGTAGTTCAATAATTAACAGATACGTTTAGAATAATGACTATGTCTTTATACATATGTATGTATGTATTTGGAATTGAATTTTTTTGTTGGTAATTTTTATATTTTTGGGTATTATCTCGTCTAAGTCATCTTAGTTAAAGGTAATCAGAAATTTCAAATAGTAAATTTTGTTGCCTTCTTTTGTTTATTTTCGTTATTGACTTCGTCTATATTAGCTTACAAGAATAACAATTTGCCATGTTGTGTTTCGTTTAAAAGAAAAGGCTGATTATATAAGTAAAGACTAATATAAAATATCTTATAATTTCCAAAGTACTAAACCAAGAGAAAAACCCAAGAGTTACATTCATCTTTTTCAGGTTAGAAACATTTCTACGAAACCGAAATTTTCAAATTCAAATACTTCTGGATTTGTGCTCAGAAAATTTCAGGTTCTCAAACCATAGAAAGAACCAACCTCCAGAGTTGTCGTATGAAAGAAACAAAAATTGTAATTTTTTTTGTCGAACACATAACATAGTCCCATTAATATAACGCAAGCAATTACTCCACAACCCGAATCCAATATTTTTCGCAAGCAAACAAAACAACTACTCAACTTCTTAATAGTTATATTGTTGTTTTCATTCAAAATTGAAAAGAAAAATGGCCACTTCGTGTGTGTATGATATTTGATGCAAAGCCCATGGGGTGAATAGTGTCATCGGTGTCAGAATGCCGTGATTTTCGACAAGGCACTCTAAAACGGCCAAACTAGCAAAACTCATTACTTGTCATGAATTTTGTCATTTTTAAGTTTTTCAGAGTCGTTTAGAGGGATTTTTGGACATTTTTATGTTTATTGGGGTGTTATAGTAGATTTCTGGATGTTTTGGTATTATTTTGTGATGATTGTTTGATTTTTCTTTTGGGATTAGTTTTGAGGGGAGAGTTATTTAAAGTAATGTTCCAAAACCCATACCGGAAAATGACTCAGTCAAGTGACCAGTTTCCGGTCTAAGCGGTCCAATGGGTCTGACTGACAGGTCAGACATGTCATTAAATACATACATATTTTTTCACGCGTCATTTCATCTTCTCTTTCTCCTTTTGTCTTTCATTTTTATTTCCTCTCTCTTTCTTACCGTCCTCTCTTTCTTCTTTATATTATATATTTTCAGTATGTCACCTCATCCTTTCTTTCTTCCTCTCACGCGTCACCTCATCTTTCCTTTCTTCTTCTCTACTTCATCTTTTTTTCCCCCCTCTCTTTCTCGCCGTCTCTTCTCTTTCTTCTTTACTTCTTCTATATTCTCTTCTCTTTTCTCACCTCCTCTTCTCTTTCTTCTTCTGCATCTTTCAGATCTTCTTCTTCATCTAATTTTTTTTTTCTCTTTCTCTCCATCCTCATCTCTTTCTTCTTCTTCTTCTGCTTCTTCAGATCTTCTCCTTTTGTCTTTTTTTTTTTTTTTTTTAAGCTCGAATCTAAGATGAATAAAAGTGGAAGAGAAGATGAACAAAGTTGGATAGGAAGCCGGAAAAAGACGAATAAACAAAGGAAAATTAAAGAAACGAAGGCTGAAGCAAAAAATGCAGGGATTTTGCCTTTTAAAACAGTCACATATGTTGGACCGGATTTTCATCTAATCCGATAGGACTGACGGTCTGACCCTATTCCTCCGGTACAATAACGGTAAAAAACGATTTAAATAAAAATACCAGTTTTTAACTCTTAATAAACTGGAATTTTTAACTCTTAATAAACTGGAATTATTGACGAAACCCGATTGGACCGTCTGATCCGGTCAGGTTTCAGAGCATTGATTTAAAAGCTGTTTTAGCCCGAAGAACGCAGTTTTTGCTTATTATATGTCTAGGGGTTTTCAATTTATCCAATATCGAAATTCAGTTTATCATATCACTTATTTTCTTTTCTTCCTCTCTTTTTTTTTTTTTTTTTCGTTAAATAGAGGTGTTCGGGTTAGTTTCAGTTATCTCGATTGTTTCGACATCAATGTTAAATAACTTTAACAACTGAAATAGTTGATATCATACAGTAGAAGTTAATTATTTTGTCCAAGTTGAACAAGAACAACTATTTTTCACAACAAAATAAGAAGATGCTTCTAAAGAATCACCATGCACTCTGCACGTTGGAGACAAAAGGCAATAATCATAATAAGTAAATAATACTATACATTATTCATATTGCAAAATGTNATGAAGAAATACAGTGTTTATAGAGAGAAGGAATTGAGCTCTTATCTATGGTTAGCTCTCATATGCCCAGCCCTCCTCTTCGGGAAGAGGAGTGCTAATTTATACACCCTTGCACTCAAATATAATGAGTGTTTTGCAAGTTGCCTTGACACATGGAAGGCTTTCATTCATTCATTTCTTGAAATGAGATAGGGTTGGTAAGAATATCTTTGAGCAGATATGGGCTTGATAGCTAGTACAAAAAGACATTAAATGAGCTGACATAAGCGTGACTTTTTAGGCATAACAGAAGTCCCCCAGTTTTTGGAGTGCATAATCGCACTTCAGAAACTTAGGTCTTTGATCTGAATGGCTGCAGTCTCGAACTGAAGAACTTGAACTATTCTTGGCGTGATCGAGTGTTGAGAGCTAGGAGTTGATCGCGATCTGTTAGGAGCTAAGAGCTCGACCTGAAATCTGTTAGGAGCTCGACCTGAAAGCAAAACGACCTTGACCTGAAAAGGTCATAACGAGCTCGACCTAACAGGTCAAAACGGGCTCAATCTAAGCAAAACGAGCTCAACTTGAGAGTTGAGGTCAAAACGACCTCGACCAGAGAGGTCAAAACGAGCTCAATGAGCAAAACAAGCTCAATCAGAGAGGTCAAAATGACCTCGACCTGAGAGGTTAAAATGAGCTCGACCTGAGAGGTCAAAACGAGCTTAATCTGAGCTAAATGAACTCAATCTGAGATCAAAACGAGCTCAATCTGAGCAAAACGAGCTCAGAGCAAAACGAGCTCAGAGCAAAACGAGCTCGACCTGTAAGCATAATGAGCTCGACCTGAAAATGTCATAACAAGCTCGACCTGGAAGGTCATAACGAGCTCAACGAGCTCGACCTGAGGTCCTAACAAACTCTACTTGAGAGGTCATAACGAGCTCGACTTGCAAGGTCAAAACGAGCTCGACCTGAAAAGGTCCTAACGAGCTCTACCTGAGAGGTCATAACGAGCTCGACCTGAGAGGTCAGAACGAGCTTGACTTGGAAGGTCATAACGAGCTCTACCTAAGAGCACAAGAGATCATCGATCTCAGCGTGTGATCAGCGATCTGAACACGCGATTTGAGGCTAAAGATCAACGATCTAAAGCCGAGGATCAGGACGACCTGGGCGTGCAATCTGTGATCTGGCTACGCGATTGGAGAACTCTGATGCGTGTAATCTGTGATTTGGCCACGTGATTGGAGAATTCTGATGCATGAGATCTGGCCACGCGATCAGAGAATTCTAACGCATGCGATCTGCAATCTGGCCACACAATTGGAAAACTCTGACGCGTGTGATCTGACCACGCGATTGGAGAATTCTAACGTATGCGATCTGCGATCAAGCCACGTGATTGGAGAATTCTGACGCAGGTTTGAGATCTGAGCACGCCATTAGGGAACTTGGACGACAGGCTTGAGAATCGGACCTGCAAGGGCCACCAAACTGTTGACGCTTGATTTTGGACGCCAACAACTCGCACGTGAGAAGCGCTAAGCGGACTTAGGAATCACACGTGGTGGATCCATGAGATTTGAATATGGAGTTGAGATTATATATATTGCAGAAAACATAAATAAAAGATTGGCAAGAGAGGTTTTTATAGTGGTTCGGATGCTTAACAAACGATTCCTACATCCACTGTTATTTTATTGATCTATGACAATTTCTATGATATTGCCCAGAAGGCATACAAAGATGAAGAAATACAGTGTTTATAGAGAGAAGGAATTGAGCTCTTATCTATGGTTAGCTCTCATATGCCCAGCCCTCCTCTTCGGGAAGAGGAGTGCAAATTTATACACCCTTGCACTCAAATATAATGAGTGTTTTGCAAGTTGCCTTGACACATGGAAGACTTTCATTCATTCATTTCTTGAAATGAGATAGGGTTGGTAAGAATATCTTTGAGCAGATATGGGCTTGATAGCTAGTACAAAAAAACATTAAATGAGCTGACATAAGCGTGACTTTTTGGGCATAACAATCACCAAACTCCATTTGAAGAACGAGTCTCATTGGCTTCATTCCATATCTCAAGAGACCCTTAGATGTGGCATCCATTACTCATTCAGGAAACTCCAACCATCACTTGGCCTGACTTCCGAGATGAATTCCTACAACGCTTTGGGCCGAATCAGTTTTTCGATTTTTTTGGCGAACTTACGAAACTGAGATAAGTTGGAAGCGTTCAAGATTACCAAACTCAGTTTGAAAAACTCCTCGCTAAGGTAGGAAGATTGGACGTTCCGCGACGAGTTGTTTCATTAGTGGGCTTACGGATTCTCCCTAAGATGAAGTACAACGGGTTGTCCTACAACTTTATCAACTGCAATTGGGCTTGCCAAACTTTATGAGGCCAAAAACAAAAGAATACAAGTATCCACTAGGACACTTATGCATAAAATCATTCCCAAAATTCCACCAAATTGGCTGTTCCAAATACACGACATCCACCTCGTCCAACTTCTTTTTTCTGTCAATTACCACTTGATGAAATTAATAAACGAAAGTGAAGGGGATTATGTTTTCGCTACAATGATTCGTACATACCAGGTCACCGCTGCCAGAAACTTTTCTCCATTCAAGCAGTTTTGGACGACTTTGATAGTGATGAGGAGATGGAAATAATTGAGACACCGATATAAGCTGCAGACTCAACATATCTAGGAATTTCCCTCCATGCTTTTGGCGGCAATGACGCCCTCATGCTGATAACAAGAAAAGTAAATTTGCAATCAACTCTTGTTCTGATCGATTCAGGCAACACTCACAATTTCGTGAGTGAAGAATTTTCCAATCGAAT